TAGACATATGCTCTGATTATGACTCTGTAAAAATACTTATGGCTAGAAATTGAAGCAGACAATAAAGAGATATAAAATAAATTATCATTTCACAAAGTTTTGCATATAATCATTGTACATATTTTAAAAACTGAAAACAGAGGAAAAACTTATTCAAGCTAGAAAAACCTTGAGACTCATAGCATTCGAGTTAGAAAGGATCTTATAGGACCTTGGCTAATGCACCTATTTTATAGCTTAGCAAACTGAGGCCCTGAGAAAAATAGTTTGTTCTACAACCCATCAATGGCAGAGTTGGGACTAGTAGAAGCACAAGGTGAAGGGTCCCTGGAAGATTCCATAGGCTGATAATGTGTGGCAGGAGACTCGTGGAGCAGGGGACACAGTGCTGCCTGCCACGGAATTCTCAGACGTGGATAGCAAACACAGTCGGTTAAGTGTGCAGCTTGATAGTCTCATTATTGAAGACAGCCACCAGCCACACACTGGGCACATCGTGAATTTGGAAAGAAAGGGTCTGGCATTCTGCTTTCATGGCTGTCTTCTCTCTGGTCCAAGTACTACTTTCCCAGGTGGACACCTCATCAGTCATTCTGTAAACACTTGGGCACCCCTACCCGCAGTTCAACCAGGCACTGTGCTCAGCTGAAGAGAAAATGATAAGATGCACAGTGTCTTTGCTCTAATGGTGCTCTCGATTTATGGATGGAGACAGATGACGAGCATGTGAATAAATAAATGGCCTAATACAGTAATAAGTACTATCTAAAAACCACACAAAATAAAATAAGCATTTCTAATAAAGGGTACCTGGGTAAGGGACAGGAATATGGAGCATAGAAAGGACTTCAGCAAGAGGGTGACATGATCTGATTGATGTGTATGAAAGCTGCCTCTATTTCTAGAACAATCACAATAGCATCACCCACCCCCATCCCAGCAAGTTTCTCTCTCTTTTTACTGTGGCCAGAGAGGCCAGAGAGGTTTTAACAAAATGTAAATTTGATGTGACAGTGTTCCTTGTGAGCACCCAGCTAAAACTGAAGTCCTCAGCACAGCTGTGATCTGCACAACACATTTCCACACCACCTTTAATCTAGCTGTAATTCATGTCCCGACCCTATTCATGCCACAGCCCCCACCCCACACCCCTGCAGCAGTCCCACCTGCTGCTCACTGCTCTCTGGATGCTGTACACCTTGCTGAGGCTGAGCCTCTGAAGAGGCCCTCCTTCTCTATGATCCCCTTCCTCCCCTTCTGTTTCTGGAACTCTTCCCCGTCCTAGGTTTAATTTGCATATTACTTCTTCTTGAAAGTCTTCCTTCATTCTTCCCAGCATAACAGGCTAGTGATCATCTTCCAGTGCTCATAGCATGCTTTCTTTGCTCACACTTGTATTGAACAAACCAGATTGAATCATATGTATTTGTGTGTGTGTGTAGATATGTATAATAAACTCTTGGAAAGTGGAGACCGTGTCTTATTCACGTATTTCTGTTTAGAGACAAGCATATGCTGGGTGTCATAGTTTGAATGTGAGGTGTCCCCCAAAAGCTCATGCATGAGACAATGCAAGAAGATTCAGAAGATAAATAAAAGCCTCAACCCAATCCGAGAATTGATCCCCTGATGAAATTAACTGAGGTAACTGAAGGTGGGTAGAGTGTGGCTGGAGGAGGTTGGTCACTGGGGGTGTGCCTTTAGAGTATATATTTTCTGTCTGGCAAATGGAGAGCCTCTTTCTCTGCTGCCTGATCATCATGTGAGTGGTTTCCTTCCACCACATTCTTCTGCCATGATGTCGTGCCTCACTTGAACTCCAAGGAATGGAGCCGACTGTCTATGGATTGAGAACTCTGAAACCGTGAACCCTCAAATAAACTTTCCTCTTCTGAAATTGTTCTTGTCAAGTCTTGTAGTCACAGCAGTGAAAAAGCTGACTAAAACACTGGGTGCCTAGCATTAATGGATATTTAATGAATGAGTCTGTAGATAAGTCACAGGATGGAATTATGAGTGGATGAATTTATTACTAAATGAATTAAATACAGTCCCCCCCTCCATTTAAAAAACGAAGGTAACTATGATCTAATTCTTCAGGTCTGAAAAGAAGATTCAGATGAGGTGACTTTAAAGGCTACTTCCAAATCTGATGTCCTAGGGTCTGAGAGTCAATAAATCACAATGGGTTATTTCCATTGGAATCAGAGAAACTTCTCGGCTTGGTTGCCTGAGATAACTCAAAGGGCCCCCAGGGACATGATTCAGGATCATAAAGTGTGTGGAGCCCTGACCTTGCAGGCCTACTGCACTAGGATAAATAAAACTTGGGCATGGGCTGGGTGTCCTCCTGTTCCAGTTGGCAACATTCACAATACCCCAACCTACCTGCTGAGGGAAGAAGCCTCCAGAAAAACAGGTTTTGAGCTGGCTGAGCAAGAGCACAGCTATACATTCCTGTAAATTTCCAGGTCCATGAAATGGCCCAGACAAGCGTATATGCACCGCTATGCCACACAGCTCCCGTGGTCATCTTTGCTTACCCCGTGGGTGTGGTGTTCAGGATAGAATTGTGTAAATTTAGAAAGAATCCCTAACTCAGCTTCCAGTGGAGGGAGAAAGAATGAAGTCTCACTATTTCCTCCTATCAGACTACTGAAGATCACCTAAGACTCAGCTCAAGTCAAAAGGCCTGTGTGCCAGCTACACACTCAACCCTGTGCTAGGTGAGACAGAGAATCCAAGGAGTAAAATGGCCCCTGTCCTCAGGGAATCTACAATCCCATGAGGGAGATCAGCCATGTGCCTCAGGGATACAGGTAGCAATGTGCCTCAGGTGACACTGGTAAGTAATTCAGGGCACAGAGAAGAAAGTCCTTTGGATAAAGGATGGAAACTTGGACAAGGAAGGAGAAACTATTTCATAAAGAAGGAAGTATGTTCAATAACCGGGATTGAGGACTGACCATGTCAGTTGGGAAAAATGCTTTAACAAGTATATTGAGTGGTCAGAGAGTAGGTTAATGGAGGTGGTAAGCAGTGTTGGGCTACAGCAGAGGGTGGTAACAGAAGGGAAGGAGAGTTTTCAGCACATTAGAAGTGTAAGACAGCAGGAGTCAGCCACATCCAGAAACCTGACTCATTATTTAATTAAAAATATTATCCTTATGCCAGTTTTTGCCAAGCCCTCTTCCTACTTCTGAGTGCCAATCTCCACAGTTAGAATGCATCCTGTGGGCAGTGGGGACACTGCAGAGTCTTGAGAGCTCCTAACTGCTTCTCTCTCTTACCTGGATGGAACCGGAAGGAAGTGGCATGGTAGTGACTAAAACTTGGGCAGGATTAGATGCATGACCTCTACTGTCCCCTCCTAGGAGATTCAGTGTTTATTTGTAATCAACACAAGGCATTTGCAGAAAAAAGAAAAACATGTGCACACACGCACACAAAGATATCCCTGGGAAAAAAAAAAAGTTCCCTGGAGCTAAAGGGATACAATGTAGAAGTCCAGATATCAAGTGCACTGTTCTGACAATAATTAAACCCAAGTTGGGTTCTTCTGACCCTGGAGTTTCATGCAAGATTTCTGCCTTCTTTTTGGAAGGTACTGAAGATCTCTCATGCAAACAGCAGGATTCCAGAACTAGCATCAAAGGAAGGAGTGAGAATTCAAAGACTATAAGAGCAAAAGAGTCCTATCAGGATCTGAAGCTCAGAAAGAGAAAATGCTTCTAAACCAACAGAGAAACTCTTTTTTAAAAAGGCTGAACCTGCCTTTCAAAAATGCACAGCATTCAAATCATTATTTTCCTTCTTCCCCTTCCTTCATAGGAGGAGTTTACAGTCAATTAGTTTGGAAGTTCAGTTAGTACAAACTCAATTTTAAAAGTACCCAAGAGGCAGAGATAGGAATGATTCAAGCCTTAGAACTTAGGCAAAGCAAAGACAGAAGCTAGAAATCTAAACCTGTCTGGGTGGCTTTTTAAAAAGTTTCTCTTGCAGATGTGGGGAGTTGTGTGGCTCTTTGCTATTTTTGAAAGGTTTTCATTTTGACTGAATCCTGGGGACTTTATTAGTCCTTTACCCTGTGAACTGTTTCAGGGCCAGAGCCAGGGCCTTCATACAGAAGAGGACTTTGATGACCTTCAAACAGATTTGATACGGCAAGTTCCCAGAGTCCCTGGCAAAAGACCCACCTCTCTCTCTCTATCTCTGGCTGTGCAGAAGCAGAAACTCTTATGGGAAAGGTCCCTTCTGCTAAACAGCCTTAGCCCTAGCCCCCAAAAGATGTGGGTTCTACTATCAACCTGTAACTCTTACTAGCCATGAAGGCTTAGAGGAGTCAGATCCCTTCTCTCTGTGCTCAAGTTTTCTCTTATAAGAAATGATAAAATTGAGCATATCATCTCTGTGGCCCCTGACAGAACAAATGTTCTATGAATTCAACTACCAAGAGGGTAGTGAAATGAATTGGATTATTTTCTTTTTATTTTTGTCTCCTGATGTTTTTGTGGGGGAAATAGTAAACCAATAACTTACTGTCCACCTGACACCTTGATAACATGTCTGTGTGTATTATTTCACTTGCCAACAAACTGATAACACAAACTGATAGCAAGGATAAAATGGTTCAACTTCCCAGCAACTCCACAAATCAATGGCAGGGATGGGGGTTACCATAGAGGCAGCCCCATTTTCCACACCTGCATTTGCACCCCAGATGCAAGAAAATAAGAAGTTAAAATCTTAATGACAGTATTAAGTGCTAATAGATCCTGGAGTACCTTATGAATCATCCAAAGAAAGCTTAAATCACACTCAGTATCATTTTAATGTTTAGCAAAGTATGTTGTAATTTACTTATTTGGAAACCAAGAATCAGTAGATGATATGGACAGTAACCAGATGAACCAGAATTTTCCATTGCCCAGAATACTCCATTCTCCAGCCACTTTATGTAAACAGGAATTTACTTTGGCATTAGAATAATAATAGCTTACAAGGAGTAGGTTCTGGTAGTCTCAGGCTTGCCAACTGTCCAGCAATGTGTCAACTGCAGAGATTGCTGTCCACTCCAGCCAGGCATTACGGGGACCCAATCAGACTCCATTTCAGAAATCATGGGCGGTGTTTCCATGGAGCTCTGCCCGAAAAGAGGTGATCTAAATCTTGCATGAGAGATGTACATCAACAGGGAGCTTTGCCTAGAACACTGTGACCTAAAAAATCATATTAAGGAGCTCAGAATGAAGAATCAGTTTCAGAGACACCAAGTGACCTTGTGCCAGGCACTTTGCACACTGCCTTGCCTGCCTGACGCCCCCTGAAGTGAAGAATGGTGGCTGCCTCTGTGCACACCCTGGCTGTGGCACACCCCAGCCTGGAGCAAGTATTCTGATTTTCACTGCCCTATTTTTTTTTTTCCTAAGGCAGGCTGCCTGCTACTTCTATTAATCATCTTGCTGTTTGTTTAGTTCTGGAAAGGTACGCACTGATTCACAAAGGGAAATATCACCTAGTGGTTAGACTGGAACAATATCCTTGCTGCATTTCCTTTCTAAGATCCTATCCATTTACTTTTATTTATCAAATTTACTTTTTGGTATCCCTTAAATAAGAATGCACATGATACATTTGTGAAATTTAGGGCCAGAAAGGATTTGGTTGATCCTGATCCATGACAATTCTTCCTTTACTAGATGAAGACAGCTACATATTACCATGCATTTTCCTTTTTTAACTAAGCCATTGGGGAGCTCAAAATCATACTCTATGCTTTATTAAAATTATTGGGTTTTCCCCTCTAACTATCCTCTTTTTCCATGACAAGTTCTCAATCTTTTATCTGTGTTCTAATGATCCTGTTATAACTATATTTAACATTATAAGCTACTTTAAATCCTTTCTGGAAGTAAGTAGCATGCAAAGAAGTTTAAAATGTAATAATCTGTTTCACAAAAGCTTTCCTGATAGGAAAATTTGGAAGATTAATTATTATTTTATGATGAAGTCTGTAATTTCATTTCTAACACAGATTAATAATTAATATTAAAGAGCTTATATACAATGGTAATGATAAATCTTTGCATAGTTTCTTACTATGCATAAAGTAAATATTTTCACATATACAATCTCATTTTGTCATTAGTGCTCACATTTTACAGATGAGGAAAGTGAGGCCTGGAGATCCTCAGTGGCTTGCACTAGGTCTAGATCCTCAGTGGCTTGCACTGGGAAGCTCAGCTCTTCAGGGGCTAAGCCGGGCCCCGTTGGTTTCTTCCCCCAGTATTGCTTGATCTCTCACTGACCTCTCACTTAAATCAGCACTCTTCTCATTATCCCTAGGCAAGTTTTTGTTTTTTTTTTTTTTTTTAAGTATGTTGGTGAAAATTAAGCAATGGTTTAGTGGTTATTTCCCTTGCTGAGATGGTCTGCAGAAAATCAGGAAACCACAGTTCTAAGGTCTAAATGGTCAACTTGACATGGTCACTTTCAGAATACCTGAAACTCCTGGTCATCCTGGGTTTCATGCTTCATTTTAACAGGTAAAATTCAGCCTCCAACAGGCCTTTCTCTTCTAAACAAATATAGGATACCTCTCCTACCCTAGTGGCACCCAGGATACCAAATCAACAGGTTGTTAGGACAGTCAAGGAGAAGAACAGATCATTGCTTCTTAGGGCTTGTTGGTGAGAAAAGAGAGGATGCCCTTAACATTTAAAACCTCAGGGTCATGTTGTTCTACTAGGCAGGTTAGCTGGCTAACTTCCTTTAATGTGACCCTGAAAAGAAGGCGTTGGGAAGCATGACAATTGTGATTTCATTTACTGCCATTTTGGGCCACTTAACTATGGCCAACTACAAGTTGAAACGCTTTGAAGACACTCCAGAAGATCCATTGCCTATAGAACCTACTGGAAAGCAAGCACATTAGAGATGTGCATCAATGATGTTCTATCTCCTTCTCCTTCTCCAGGTTAGGCCAGACCCCATTCTGGTTTCCCACTAGGCCCTAGGTCCTGCCCACAGTCTGGGGGCTGGAGAGGCTAATCTCAAAGGGCCAGAAATGAGTCAGTTTCCACGCTCAGCATCAGGCGTGTGGCTTCCTGAAGCACAGACGAGGAAGTGCTGAATTTCAAAGAGCAAGGTTTTTTGTTTTTTTTTTTCTTTGCATACCATATCCGGAACTGAAACCACCAATTCACTTCACTTAAGATCTCACACTATACTCAGAGCATCAATAACATTCCAGAGATAAGATACCAAGACTTCATCAACCCAGTCTTTCCATCTCCCCACTTTTCTTTCAGTGATGATACTGCTGGATTCTTCTTCTTTTTCAACCTCTTTATTTTTAGCCCTGGCAACAGAATTTGGAAGCCTCTTTTTTTTTTTTTTTTTTTTGAGTACTAGGAGTCACATAGCTAGCTGTGAAGGGTATGGCCAAGCTCACTACTTTCTGCTCTTCCTTGCCAGGCACTTTAACCATGTGTGAGGACATGGTCACAGATTTAGTGTACCATTCTAGGAGTCAACTGGCTTTGCGAGAGCTTCCACAGGGAGGTAATGGATCACCTCACTAACCCATAAAAGTGGTTAAAAGATGGAGTCTGTGGACCAATTTGTGCAAACTACCCTTATGGACAGAAAAACAATGGAAAACATACACATCCTCCTAATGCTGTCTGTAGCAACAAAGTAAGAGGAGGAAGAAGGATCCCTACCACTTAGCACAGTACAGTTTATCAACCATGCTCACGTCCTTTCTCTCTCCTGGTGAGGTCAGTCACACCTGCATTATCCTCTCCGTTGTACAAATGAGGGAACCCTATGCTAATAAATGTGGAAAGACAGGCCCTCACAGTGATAGTAAAAGTCAGAGACCCCAGTTCTATTGATTGCATCTAACCTTATATAGTATGTAATACTCCATCATAATTCATAATCTCACGTTACAGTCATTTGTGGACATTTTAAGTTTTGCATTCTTGCAGGGTTAATGGCTGTTAGTCATTATAATTGGCATAACCCTTCCAGGCCTCTGCTTTCTTTATTTAAGAAAAAAAAATGGAGGAATGGCATTAAGTTCAGTGTTGCTTTCAGCTCTATCACTTCGGTAGGTCCATGTGTCTGCTGAGTCAGGTCCCAGGATGGCAGTAGCTCTAGGGAAAAATTGTTACCTGGTTATTACGGTCAAATAAATTAGTGAAAAGCATGATGATTCAAAAGGAAATGGGTTGCTTTGCTTCAGCCCTTCTCAGAGCCTTTATATACACATGTACATAGGAGGGGGCTATGGCTGTGCGACATTCCTCCAACTTGGTCCTAGAACGTGGATCTCACGGGTCAGCATTCCATGGGGCCTTTGGTAAACAGTGGAGAGTTCTCTCATGATCCCATTGGTCTCTTAAAGCAGCAGCACAGATTCCAAGAAAAATTTCATAACTACCCCAGTACCACGAACTCCCACTTCTTGCCCCCTGCCAGTGTAGCACGTGCTAGGCCATGCAGTGTGGTCCCCCAAGCTGGGTGCCACCTAAAGTTGAGCAATTCCAGCTGTACAATCTGGATCCCATCACTTCAGCCACAGAGACTTTGTGTTTAAAAAAAACCCACAATCCATCTGAAAACAAGGACTTCCACATGTTGCCTGCACAGAACTAGAGACAGTACCTCTTATTGCCTTGGAAATTTACTGCTCTCTCATTTCCCCCATTGTGAAATCTCATCATTCTCCTCTTATGGGAGAGGAGAGGTAAGGCTGCCCAAGGATTTTTCATCCTGCCTGTTGTCATTCTGTCTCCCCTGACTCCTTTAGCATCCTTCCTTTTTGGAGAAAGGAATTTGAGACTCAGGGGTGTGGCAAACCAAAGGGGCCTTTCCCCAATCTGAAGACCCCCTTAGTTTGGCCTTTTGTATGGCTTCCAGTGCCTCTGTGATAAGGAGCCACTACCTCCAGGGGCAGCCTGATTCCATGTTTTATCAATTTAGATTATTCGAAAGTTCTTAACCACACTGTCTCATGGGAACTTCCTCCTATGATTGGCTCCCAACAAGTCCGATCCTGCTACCACAAGCATGAAATGTGTCTTCCCCAATCTGACAGGTAACCCTCCCTGTCTTAAATCTGTATTTTGACAGTCCCATGAGCTATGTGGACTTTCACTCTCTAGCCCAACGTTATCTTCTTATTGAGTTCCTCTTTAGCCATCTTTTCCAATCTCAGTTGCTCTAGAGAGAAGGACCGTGTGGTGTCGTAGGTACTATTTACTTCTTTTATTGGGGATTCTCCACTTAAATTTACACTTCACACTTCCTGCCTTGGTTTAGGTCAACAAATGCCATTAGAAAAAATTTTAACCTCAGCCACAACTTGTGCTTGTTTGCAGATTCCTAGCTATATGATAGACCAAGACAAATTATCTTTAGTTCTAGAGTGACATGAAACTTCCTGGTACTGAATTATGCAAAGGAAACTTCAGGATGAAAGAAGGCATACAGCAAATAGACATCTAAAGTGGCTCTGGGAATTCCTTTGACTTGAGTAGACATTCTTCATTCTTTACCAACCATTTAGTGCTTTCAGATTTTACATGAATATTTCACCTTTATTTTCTTATTTATTCCCATAACAATCCTTTGAGATCACATATTATTGTATAATGCCATTAAACTGATATTATTTTATGAGCACACTGGAGTTTCTGAGGCCATAATTAGGGGTTGCATTTTTCACCTTTTGTCCTACTGTTGGACTCAAAAGTTTAGGGTTCTAACCCCCGTGTGACCTTAAGCAAGTCACTTTCTTTCTCTCTTTGAACTTTAGTTGTTCCATCTGTAAAATGAGACAGGTATGGGGTTAAACTAGATAATCCCTGAGAGCCCTAATCTTAGCCAACCCCAGGCAATTGCTTGTCCTTATTCACCAAACAGAGAGACAAAACAACCAATCCAGGAGGACACTATGTACTACATTCATGCTGTGTGAGAAATACCATCTCATTATCTTTACATCCAAAAGAACATCCAGTCTATCATCACTCATCACAACCAACACAGTGACAGTTACTTTTTAATGTAGAAGCAAACCTTCCTTGGTTCAAGAAAAGAAAATTTTGAGAGAAAGTTCAAGTCCTGAAACTGCTAACGTCTTCCTGTGATGGTATGTGGGACACCGTGGGGGTGGGGAACAAGAAGCCAGACAGTTCATCTTAGGGGT